CCCCCCCAATGTATAAGCTCATCAAAAAAGGCTTATGAAATTATATAAGCCCAGGGCTTATATTCTGAAGTTTACGGTATGTCGTATTGAAATCTACGTGAAAAAAATAGAATAAAATAAATTTTAAAAATTGTAACTAAAATAAATTGAGCTTGAATCTTGATTGGCTGAATCTCTCACTAATTATTATCTGATTAATTTTAACCATAGACAACTGAAGAGAAAATAACGGTGAAGACCGAAGTGTCGACAGAGAAACGTGAGGCCATTCTTAAAGGAATAAAGGAACAACAGCAAGCAAGATTTAAGAAAATCGAAATGGCGAAGAATATTCGTGAAGAAATCCAACAGAATCGTTCGAAAGATTTAGAAGAGAAAACACAACAGAAATGAATGACTGCGAAGGAACTGCTTGAGAATCAGGAGAAAGCACGTCAGGTAAAGATTGTAGTTGTAGTATTGCTGGCCTAATCATAGGTGGAGGTGGGATTGCGCTCGTTATTTGTCATAAAATAATAGAATGTGGTAACCGAGCCCTTCAATTATGCTGATATGCATTTGCATTGCAGTATATATTGCAAAATTTGTCCGGAAAAATGTCCAACCAATCAAATGAAATTTGATCGGAAACTTTCAAATTTTGTTCGAACATTGTTTGGTTTTATTTTGATTCCATGCCTTCGTTGGATAAATTTAGCGAATATATTAATAGTACTTTATGCCGAACACTAGTTATTTCATGCTTTGCATTTTGTCTGATCGAATACACGATAGACTTCTCAAAAGGCAATTCCAGCTTTTAGTTTATGCCTGCAGGGGATGATGGGAAGTAAGGTATCATTTGCTGATTATGCTGAAAATTTTCAATAAAAACTACCTAAACAACCGAAATATTTCAATATTTACAAGTATAAGCTATCACTCCGTGTTTACACGGCCACCATTTTTATTTTTTCAGCATAATCAGCAATGTGATATCTTACTTCCCATCGTCCCCTGCACGCATTAACTAAAAGCTGGAATTGCCTATTGTATCCGCGCATATGTTTTCAGGAGAAGATCGAAGCTGAAGAAGAACGCCTGAGACGAGCGAAACACGTGAGCGAAGAGAAGATTGAGAATGAGATCCGTAAGAAAGCTGAGAAAGCTCAACAAAAAATGGAGAGATACAAAGAGAACCTCGAAGCGCAGCGTGAAGCTAGACTTGAAAAATTAAGAGCAGAGGAACACCACAGGGAGGAAGTACGCTTAAAGAAAGAGGAAAGAAATGCACAGGGAATAACGCAAGGATAAAGACAGCCACATACAGTATACTGTTCAGTACAGTACTATATATAGTTCAAGAAATTTACATTTAGGTATAAGTATATTTATTGATTTATTCATTTGTTTGAGGCTATATAACTTTACTCGCCGTGTAACGGTATATAGGTGCTTGACTATCTTGCACTGTTTTTGCAAGGTCGAAACGTACATAATAATTTGTTTGATATTATTTAGTCAATTATTTATAAAGGCAAAAAAATAGCAAAAATATGTCGAGTGTATGATATTCAGATCAAAATAATATGTTTTTTTGCATTGTTAGTTTGATGTGTACAATTACTTTCAGAATTTATTTTGGACAACTTGAGATCGAGTTAGTTCCAGGAGGAGAGGGGGGGGGCATGCTCGGTTCAATTTGATTGAGAGAGCTATGGCAGCAAGGCACTACTCTGCAGTTTTCCCTGATCCATTTCATTTTGCCTTTATTCTATTTCTGTTTTATAATTGCCTTTCCAAATAAAAAATGAATATTATACGGAAATTAGCGACCATCTAAAATTCAAACTATAGGGTATGCGGGTCTTTACGACCTCATGGAGTTAAGCGTCCATGCCTTGCATAGCTTTAGAATAACTTTAGTCAGTTTTGACAAAGGGTATTGGGCTGTCAATTTCCCGTTTGTAATCTAAAATGACTGAAAATTGCAAATCTCGCAAGCTATATTATACGCATTTTACAACATTTCGCAACGAAACTTTGGAATATTACTAATTTTGTGATGCTCTTTCAAGCTATGATGAAATTGTTGTCTAGACTTGTTTAGATCAAAATTTAGTCTATTACGCAAATGGTCAATTGCTATTGGTGGATTTGGCAAAAATACAATACACACGTGACGGTGAAAGACCATATTTATGAATAAACGTTGACTAACGTGGGTAATGAGTTGTATCTGAAACAACAAGATGTTACGCTTTGTTATCTTATAAACCTCTGGTAATTTCCTCGACTGCGCATCACTGAAAAATACCTTCGTGTGCGCATTGTATTTCGTATACCATTCGCAGTTCATAGTGTCAGATTGCCGCTAACATGTGAGCCATCAATTAATGATCTTTTCTATTATTAATTTTCATTAACCTTGGACTAAGCTAACGGCCAAGTTATGAGTATCCAATCTGCAGAAATAATGTGAGGTTAGCCCCCCAGAACGGAAATTCCATTTAGGTTGTAGAACCAAAAAGTACAGAAAGCATCAATACGGAAGCATGGCCAGTCAACATGGCTTATCGATCCCTAGCTTGCTAACAGGCTCTCTTTGAACTCTTTTTGAAATTTGAGAGAGAGCCTGCAGGCCTAGCTAATAAAAACGCGTCTGTGCGTTGCTTAGAACGACGCAGGGTTCTTATTGGTTGAAATTGAATTAACTACATTATACTGCCATAAAAGGTAATTAAATTTACACAACAATAGATTCAAATCGAAAAATATCGTTCTATAGCGACGAGTTGTAGGCCTATAGAAAACTAAATCTATGTTTAAAGTTAAAGGATGGGCAGTCAAAAGCTCTTAACAATATTCTAGACGGAAACGATGTTTCTGCTGTATAGGAGAGTTTGGCAAATACAACGGCAACATTATATAATTTGCATTCTTGAGCATTCTATATAGTACGCCGTAGTTGTTCAAACTCAAGCCGTTGCGGTGTTTATGTGAATTCACTTATTATTGCTACGTCAGGGAATTTCAGAGTTGTTTGAAAGAAAGACAAGTGCTTCTAATGTTGTAAACAATCTTGCGTTGAAATCGAGATATGTGTTTTGTTTACATATATTCGCAGGCTATCACATAAGGTGTGTCTGTATTACTGTAATTTGTCACATTGTATTTTACATTTGATTGACAGCACTATAAATAGTGATAGGCACAGACGAATTTTTATTGACTAAACCGGCAGGCTCTAATTCAATTCAAAGAGCCTGTTCGCAGGCTAATCGATCCCTTAATTTTTACGATTATTAGCTAGGGGTGTCAGAAAAGGGTACATATTATGATCGATAAGCACCTATTGAAGTGTTTACGTTACAGTGGGTGGGTTTTACGTTGGCGAAACCCGAGAGTCCTTTTTGGTAAGTCATTTTAACTTCAGCGCCATTTCAGAGTCGAAACAAAACTGATATATCTACAGACAAACTTGCAAAAGTAAAGTTTACAGAAGAACAACAGAAACCAAGTGAAGAAAATAAAATGTTTGAGTCTTTTTCACAACACAAGATATACATACATCCGTCTTGAGATTCGTTTAATCAATGAATAATACCTCTTTAAACTAATAGTTTAAATACATGGCTGAGGGCAAAATTGTAGACTCGAGTTATGCAATTTAGGTTTGAGACTGCCGGGTGCAATTTCTGTAACTTACGACTTGACTTGTTATTTTGATTACCAACTTGTGACTTGACTTGGAACAAAATGACTTTTGACTTGACTTGCAGGAAATGACTTTTTTTGACAACGTAACTTATTAACGTAAAGTCGTAAATATCTATAGTGAGAATGAACATTTCTACAACTTGTATTGAAAATTTTATCGACGCATAACGAGTAATGCAGCCATACGCCAATATATATCGCTTTTTAATGTACGACTGTGAACCTGTTATGTAAATTGTCATGCCGGGTGACTCCCCAGTTTATGAAAAAAGAACTGTGCCAAATGGTTTGCGACTTAGATTGGTCACAGGTAAAATTATTTGTGACTTGCTACGCGGTGTGAATGGCTTATTAGGGGTTGCTGTTCATATGATTCCACTTGACCGAGACGCCTATAAACGGGACGAATATTTCTGTGCGTTCATGTGGAGTATTTCATTCCGCTTGCCGAGACGAAATTATACGATGTGGTTGTATAATTAACGCCTGCAAAACTTGTACATTTCAGTCATGCAATACAAACATAGCGATTTTAGTATTTTTCTTTATTTATGTACGTGAAAAAGCAATAACGCTTTGGCTCCACATTTAATACTTGTTTATAAAACCAACATAAAACTAAGTAAAAAGTAATACATTAAAAGGAAAAACCCCAAATTGGTGGATTTGGCAAAGCTTCAATACACACGTGACGGTGCAGGGACCATATTTATGAATAAACGTTGACTAACATAAAGCAAGTCAAATGACTAACATAGAACATTCCCTTCGATAGGCTATTGTCCAATAAATGTATAAAAATAAAGAACAATTTGTCATGATAAATCATTAATGAATATCAGAAATAGGAGCGGTCCTAAGATCGTTCTTTAAGGACTTCCGCACTTAAATTACATTTTTTCCGCCTGCGGTTTTCCAAATATGACTTGAACCATTTGTGGGCAACATCGTGAATTCTATAGTTTCTACATGAGTTTATATTATTAGAAAAGACAAATCAAGGAATGAAGGTGGAGCTTGTATCTGCTTGCGTAGCTCCATCAACTATATTATAAGAAAAGATTTAATTTCTTCTGAATTGGAGGCTGTCTGTGTAGAAATTATTAAGCTACACAGTTGACCATTTCTTGAAGTTACCCGAGTAACTATGACAACCTCTAGTCTCATTGATCACATAGTAACCAATAAAACAGAAAAAACTCTGTTTTGACTCTGGTGTTATCCATACCGGATTAATTAAGTGACCATAGTTTGGTATTTGCTGTGAAGAAAATTTCTGTTGTTAAACGACAAAAGAAAGTTGAGATAAGAAATATGAAAAAATTTGATCGTCAAAAATTTATAATATTGTTTGTGAAAAAAAAAACAAAGAACTTATTACAAACTTATTACTTTAATATTCTTTTACAAAGAACTTGTTTTATCAAAAATTTGTTGAGGATCTGAGGCGACAACCCTGAGAAAATTTATATTTCTTTGTTAAAGATCCTAACGATACTTGTGTGGAAAATTTGGAGGCAATATTATTCTTAGAGGTCTTGGATAACCATGTACCACTTCAACATAAAGTTCCTTGGATTACAAGTGCTATAAAGCAACTTATAATTACAGGGAACAGCTTCAAAAGAAAGGCCATTATTGATATTCAGCTAAAATGTTTAAAAAAGATTATTACTCCACTAAAATTTCTGATCAGAGGCTTGAAAACTATAAACAATACTAGGTAGGCAAGGCAAACCAACTGTAGTAAATGAGTTAAAATCAGGTGAAAGTAGTTTGACAAGTACCAAAGATATTGGCATATTGCGGAGGGCTTTAAGGATTATTTTTCAAATATTGGCCTTAATCTATAGCTGGAAAAATTGATACTTCAAATTTGAACTTTCAAACATATATTGGAAAGACTAAATCAGAATTCAGTGCATTCCAGCCAGTCACTGTCAGTAATGTCTACCATCTCTTGCATGGTTTTTCTAGCAACAAAGTCACTGGCGGTAATAAAATCTCCTATGAAATTATGAAAATAGCTGCACCTGCTATTTCAGATTTACTCCCATATATTTTCAATCAGGCTATTACCCTATCGCTTTTCTCTCACGAATGGAAAACGGCTAGAGTAATATATACCTCTCTATGAAAATGGTCAACGAAACTTGCCAGGAAATTACAGACCAATTTCAGTTCTGCCTGTCATTAGCAAAATTATGGAGCGAATTCTGTGTGATCAACTATACAATTATTTAACCAAAAAATGGACTTCTGAGTGATTGTTAATTCGGTTTTCGTAAATTTCACTCTACAGCTACAGCATTACTTGACTGTACAAATTATTGGTATATAAATTTAGACTGCAAAATGTTTAACCTAGTAGTCTTAATTGACTTGAAAAAAGCATTTGATACTGCTGATCATCAAATATTATTGAAAAAATTAAAGCTTTATGAAATAAAAGGAAAAGCTTTGTCTTAATTTCTAAAATCATATCTCTCAAATAGAAACCAAAAATGCCAAATACAAAGATCTGTTTCATTAGAGATATTGATCAAATGGGGCGTATCACAAGGCTTTAATTTAGGGCCTCTATTTTTTCTGTTATATATTAACAATTTGCCTCAATGCCTGGATAAAACAAAACACCGGTTGTTTGGTGGAGACCCTATTGCTGATCTTGAAACTGCAGTGAATTCTGATTTGGAAAAATCTAGAAAATGGCTAATTGCCAATAAACTTAGTCTAAATGTGTAGCTGAGTTTATAAAGACTGAGTTGTAAAGACTGAGTTTATGTTAATTAGTTCAAAACAAATAATAAAAAGTATTTCAAATTTGCAACTAAATGTGAAAATTGAAAACAAGTCAATTAAACAAGTTTATGAATCCAAAACTCTTGGAGTGACAATTGACTAGCATTTATCTTGGAAAACTAACACTGAGAATATTTGCAAAAAATTAAATAACATCCAGAATATCGGCTCTTAAACGTTTAAAAGAATTTCTCGTTGAGCAAACACTTCTTTCTGTATATAATGTTATTGTTCGCCCATACTACTGCTGTGAAGTACGAGATGTGTTTAGAGAAACGCAATCAAAAAGACTCCAAAAACTACAAAACAGAGCCGCACGGATTATCATGAATATGAGCAATGACATAAATCATTCTGTTGCACTGCAAGCATTGGGTTGGAAGCCACTTAAAACAGAGGGGAAGAATAGTAAAGCAAAAATCATGTACAAATTATTGAATAAAATGGAATCCAAATCACTCGCTAATCCGCTCTCACATATAATAAGGGTGAGGTGACAAACTACAAACTTCGGAACATTTTAAAATTAGTGTTTGTTTACCACAACCGGTACTATATATTAATATGAAAAAAAGTTTCGTGTATGACGGAGCACACCTTTGGAACTCGATTTATTCCAAAAGAAATAAGAGAGAACAAATCCTTTTCTTCTTTTCGAAAGAAAATCGTTACTCACATTGATTGACACTAGTTAACTGAAAATATAGATGTTAATACTACCTGTATATAAATTATTAATTTAGTTTGTTAGTTCAGATAATACTTTATATGTCATATATAATTTTGTAAATAGTTTTAAAATTATTTTCTGTATACTTTTAGTGCACGCCCCTCGTCGAAATATTCTTCTGTTGGCGTGGTCAGCGTGCTTAAATAAAGATTTCTATCTATGAGTTTAGACAACAAGATCTCATGCACGTTGACCATATCAAAAGCCATTTTCAGGTTTAGGTTTAGGAATACAACGGCATTAACATTGCCGCGGTTAATATTGTAAGCCCAACTATCAGTTGGCTTATACCTGTATTAAGTGAGGCTGCATGTAACGGCCATACAAAGAGCAAAACCCTGACTGGTGTTCAGACAGAAAATTATGTTCTAACATGTATGCATAAATTAAGTTGATTGTAGATTATTTGTTCAAAGGCCTTGGCCATTACTGCATGAAATCACAAAAATTGGGCGGTAGTTATTTATTTCATTTCGTGTACCTTGTTTATAAAGATTGGAGTAACTTTGGCCCATTTCCAATCTTCAGAAAATATACCAAATGTTAGTGAAAGATAAAAATATTGGTTATGGACCTATTGAAGTGTTTGCGTCACAGCGAGTGGGTTTTACGTTGGCGAAACCCGAGAGTCATTATAGGCAAACAATCTTAACTTCTTGAGCACCACTTCAAATCAAACCCACGATCTCAGAGTTGAAAGACGCTTGTTTTCACCACTGCGCCACAGAATCTCCTAAACAATTTAAACTGATTTATCTGCAGCATAAGTTTAGAGAACAAAATTTCATGGTTGATCGTATCGAAAGCTTTTTTCAGGTCTAGAAATACTACTGCATTAACATGCATATCATTAACAGTTCGTCTGTTTCATCCTTTAAGTTCCAGCTCCATTCTCACTATATATACTCTTCTCAATTAGACTCTTCTTTCGATGTTAACAGAATGCGCACTTGGAAAATCTACTGCTCTAAATGCCGTTCTTTCAAATTAATAGTCCTCGTCTTTAATGTATGTTTACACCATAGATATCTTGTATATACTAATTATTCTGCAATTCAAAAATTGAAGCTGTGATTGCAGTCTCAGGTCGTTCCCATGAAATGAGGAAATTCGTATGTTTTCTATTTCCTAAACAGGGAACTTAAACATTAAGTTAAACCTATTTTAAATACGTTTTTAAATTATTCAAATGATGAAAGTTGTTGTTCTTTTAAGCGTTTATTAGCAAGTGGGAACGACCAACATGGCTGCCATCTATTCAAATGGGGGTAACCGCTGGAATATTTTTGGCTTCAATTTAACTAAATGAGATGCGCTATCTAGTCTATACAAGATATCTATGGACTATGGTTTACACTTATTGTATTGCATCAGGTTGGTCTTCACATGGGACTCATGCTCTGTTGACCATACCTTCAATCATTGTTATATTTTTTGTATGATTGTAAAGTTAATAAATAAATATCCGCGGTCAATAGTGTAAGCCCAACTATCAGTGGCCTTATATCAAGTAAGGCTGTAACGGTTGAATACAAAAAACAAAACCCTGACTGGTGTTCGGATAGCAAATCATGTTCTAACATGCATGCATAAAGTTGATTGTAGATTATTCGTAATTCAAAGGCCTTGGCCATTACTGCATGAAATCACAAAAATTGTACCTTGTTTAAAGATTGGAGTAACTTTGGCACATTTCCAATCTTCTAGAAATATACCCAATGTTTGTGAAAGATTAAAAATATAGGTTATGGACCTACTGAAGTGTTTCCGTCACAGTGAGTTAAGTTTTACCATAGTTGGTTTTACGTCGGCGAAATCGAGAGTCTTTATTGGTGAATCATTTTAGCTTCTCTCAGCAAGCACTACTTCAGAGTCAAAAGAAAACTGATATATTTGCAGCATAAGTGTAGAAAACAAGATCTCATTGTTGACTGTATCGAAAGCTTTTTTAAAGTCTATAGAAATACCACGGCATTAACACTGACATCCGCGGTCAATATTGCCAGCCCAACTATCAAGCATGTTCGGATAGCAAGTCATGTTCTAACATGTATGCATAAAGTTGATTGTTGATAATTCATTCAAAGGCCTTGGCCATGAATGATTGTTGTTGCATGAAATCACAGGAATTGAGTAGTAGTTATTTATTTCATTTTGTGTACCTTGTTTACCCTGGAAAAAGTGAAATCCATACTATGAAATTATAAATCCATATTTTATTCATACTATTTGGATACTATATATCCGTGGTATATATATGGAAATATACAATTATTGTAGATAATCAAAAAAATCCATTCTATTTCCAATATCAAAAATCCATTCTATTTCCAATAGAGGTCTATACAATTTCGATTCTATGGATTTTCAATTTTTTTTTCAGTGTTAAAAATTGGAGTAACTTTGGCACATTTCCAATCTTCTGGAAATATACTCAATATTAGTGAAAGATTAAAAATATTGGTTATGGACTTATTGAAGTGTTTACGTCAGAGTCTATGGGTGGATTTTACGTCACAAAAACCGGACAGTCATTATATAAGTGAATCATTGTAACTTCTTCAGCACCAGTTCAGAGTAGAAACTGAACAAAACTGATTTGCAGACACCTTGCAAAGGTAAAGTTTACAGACGAACAACAGAAACCAGGTAAAGAAAATGTTTCAAAGTTTTTTTTCACGACAAAATATATACATTCCTTTTTGAGATTCGTTTAATTAATAAAAATATCTCTTAGTTTAAATATATGGCTGAGGGAAAAGTTGTAAACTCGAGTTAAGCAACTTGTACTCCAGACTTCATGAGTAAAATTTTTATGATTTGCGACTTAATTTTTTATTCTGAGCAACAACTTTTGACTTGATTTAGACTTGAAACAAAATGGCTGGCTTGTGACTTTTAACTTGCACTTGCAAGAAATGACTTTTTTTACACGTAACTTAACGTATAGTCGTACTGAATATCTAGTGAGAATAAACTTTTGTACAACTTGCATTGAAAATTCATCAATGCATAACGAGTAATGCAACTATATACTGGCATATCGCTTTTTCATGTACGACTGTGAGCCTGTTATATAAATTGTTATGCCGGGTGACTCCCCAATTTATGAAAAAAGAACTGTACAGAATGGTTTGCGACTTAGATTGGTCACAGGTAAAATGATTTGTGACTTGGTACGGGTTTTGAATGACTTGTTAGGGGCTGTTCACATAATCCTACTTGATTCCATTTAGCTTGATTCCGCTTAACGGGACGAATATTTGCATGCGTTCATATTTGGAGTGTGTCGTTTCGCTTGTCGAGATGAAATCACTATATTTGTATAATTAGCGCCTGCAAAACGTGTACATTTCACGGTTATATGCAACACAAACAACATAGCCATTTTATAGAGTTTTCTTCATTTATGTACATGAAAAGCATTGCTTTAGCTGCACGTGTGATACTTGTTTATAAAACAAACATAAAACTAAGTTTAAAGTTTTTAATTAAACGGCAAAACCCGATGACATTACTGCGCGAATACCGAAAATTCTCATCAAAATCTGAATCTGCGCAAACGTTGATGAATGATGAAAGTGCATGAGAGTTGAGGAAAGTTGCAAGTTTTATCAATTCTGATTTTTGTGTGGTTGGGACTCAATATTTTTCAGATGCTCGTCTGAGTATGGGCAAGCTATGTATGCGCTAGCCTGTTTCCAATTGCTACGGTTTCTGTTCATGAAAACGCCTGCCATCAGAATATTGTCGTACATTTTGACAGTCGGTCCATCTCAACTACAAATGACAGATATTTAAAGTGAACAGAGTTGGCTTAAAGATTTAATTTTTTTACAGGATATACTTTAATCTTTGTCCAATTCTGAAAGATGAAAGTTTTGTTGCATTTGGTTTGCATCGTTTTGTTCGTTGCGTTCACGACAGCAAGTATTCTGGAAGGTTCGTATATATCGTTTTAAAATACTGGATAAGTTCAATCAGTTTTGAACTGGTTTTCCTAGAGGTCCAGTAAAGACTTTCTCGTATTGATTCAATTTTGCTACAGAAAAAACCCCGAAGTGTACTCGGAATTGGAGCTATAGTTACACAAGCAGGGGCAAAAGACACGCCACTGTAGCAAACAAGGACGTGGCGAAGCACCTGAAGTTAGGGGGTGTCGAAAAATTTTATTTAAAATTTAAAATTCAATGTTGAAAATTTACTTGAAGTGTAATAATTATACTAAAGCTTTTTGTGATTGATCTGCATTGTCATACTAAGTTTCGGGAAAAAAGGGGGTTTGCATGGAACTGCATTTGTGGCGTTTGCAATTCGCAAAACAAACTGGATGTTATTATTTTACAAAAGTAATTATTTTATTACGCAAATTTTACCTTATAATATCAAAATTTTAACTTAAATTTTACGTAATATTTGCCTGAGTTTCACAGTTTGGAGGGTTACATCCACCCCCCGGTCGCTACGTCTCTAGTAGCACTTCCCCTCATCAAGTTAATTCTGCCAATGTAAGTTGAGACCTGTGGATTTATTTCTAAGTTGTAGATAACAGCTCTTGTGCTGTTTTCAGTCTTGTGCTTCGAAGATTTTTCTTTAAGTTACCTCACCAAAAACAATATCATAAGTCTTAGCTGTTGTCATCTCATTATCAACAATGATTAAATGACTCATTATCTTTAAAGATTTTATAGCTGATGAAATAGAAAACGATGAGTTGTTTCTTGAAAAACGTGCTCCATGCCCAACGATTACTTTCCCATGTGGTCGTGGCACTGTTATGCCAAATGTTTGTCAAAACATGAGAACCGCCATTGCAAAAGGCCACCCAACACGTCTTCATCGCATCACGGACTCGAAAGCCATAGCTAAGAACAGACGTGATTCTGGATGCACAAGAATGAGAAAAACACCAGGCAATAACTGTGATGAATATCCCTTTGCTTCATCCAGGGAAGGTACGAATTGAAGTGTTTGTGTTCAAAAAATATCCGTACAAGAGAGGGGCGAACCGTGATTGAGAAGTTTCTTTACTAAAGTAATAATTGTATTGAAGGGGTGTCCTCATGGAAAAATTCCCATATTTAAAATTTTTTTTTTAAAGAAATGTTTGCACTAAAAAAATGTATGTATTAAAAAGATGTTTGTTTTAGATAAATGTTTGTATTACAGAGATGCTTGTATGAGAGAAATTTCTGTATTAGAGACTAGAAAGATGTTTGTTTTAGAGAGATATTTGTATTAGAGAGATGTTTGTATCAACCTCGCAAGCAAGGGCCTCCACACCCGCGGCGGGATGGAGACCCTTGTAAAGGCTGGTCACGTGACCTCCCGGATTCTGGGAGGTAAATCAAATTATACTGAGAGAGGGGTGGTTGAGCAGCGGGTTTGTAAATTTCTCATATTTGGGGAATATGAGAAATTTACAGACCCGCTCCTCAACCACCCCTCCCTCAGTATAATTTGATTTACCTCCCAGAATCTGGGAGGTCACGTGACCAGCCTTTATAAGAGTTTCCGTCCCGCCGTGGGTGTGGAGGCCCTTGCTTGCGAGGTTGTGTTTGTATTAGAAAGGTGTCTGTATTAGAGGAATGTCTGTATTACAAAGATATCTGTATTAGAGAAATGTTTGTATTAGAAAGGTGTCTGTATTAGAAAAATGTCTGTTTTAGAAAGATGTCCGTATTAGAGAAATATCTGTATTAGAGAGATGTTTGTATTAGAAAGTTGTTTGTATTAGAAAAATGTTTGTTTCAAAGAGATGTTTGCATTAGTTTAGGTGTCCGTTCAAAAGAAACAACCAATGATTGAGAAATTTATTAAAGTAATGACTATATCAGAGAAGTACGTTGATGAAAAAATGCTTGTATTAAAGGGGGCTTCTGTATTAAAAAAAGTGTCCGTATTGGAGAATCCCGCATTAGAGGGTTTTCTATATTAGAAAGCTATCCGGATTAAAAGGTGTTTATATTAAAGCTGTGTATGTATTAAAAAAGCCCCACGTTAGCGAGGTTTCTGTATTAAAGTGATATTTTTTTATGGGAGAGGTGTCTGTATTAGAGAGGTATACCCGTATTAATGAAATGTCCGGATTAAAAAGGGTTTGTATTAGAGAAGTGTTTGTATTACAGAAGTGCCTGTATTACAGAGGTGTTTGTATTAGAAAGGTGTCTATATTACGAAAAGAATGTCTGTATTAGAGAGGTGTTTGTATTAGAGAAGTACCCGTATTATTGAGATGTCCGAATTAAAGAAGTATATGTTTGTATTAGAGAAGTGTCTGTATAAGAAAGGTATGCGTATTAGATAAATTTCCGTATAAACAAGGTAACTGGTTAGCAAAGATGTGTCAAAGTCAAATTAAGTGTACGTATTAGAAATGTGTGTTTGTATTAGAGAGGTGTCCGGAGTAAAGAGACGAAGCTAGGTATTAGAAGTGTATGCGCATTTGAATTGATCCGTATTCTTGATTATTACTTTTGGCATTCAGCTTTTCAGAGTTGTTCTTAACCATGAACATTTTTTTATTTTTTGCAGGTGGAGCAGGTGCTGAGATTAAGCTTGTCCCATCGCGTGAAAACAGCAAGCAAGGTGGTTTGTTGGGCGCTTTTTATAGAAAACATAAAATTGGTAATGGTGGCTGTTACAATGTTAGAGTTTAATAAATCTTCCTTTGCATGCATAGGCCTACTCTGGGATAATATTTGGCCATATTTTCATTTTTTGTTAAAATAATTTCATAAGTCATAATTTAACTTTTAAGTTAATCTTTTACTTGTAAAATTTTCTTTGTTAAAGAACGAAATTAAATAAAACAATTGAATAAAGATGTGTTTTTTTGTGTTTTTTTTTGCTAGTTGCATGCTTACATGATTGTCGATCCATTAAACAAATCTTTAAACGGTTCACGTATGAAAGAAATGGAGAATAATACTTGGTTGCGAATGGGTGAGCGAAAATACCAGATTTATTTCGAGTGTTGAACATGATATCTTACGAGTGAGCGCAGCGAACGAGTGAGATTATACAATTACTTTATGGTTTCCGTGTTTGGATGGCCTGATCCAAACACGCGGAAATGTTGCGAGAGTTAAAATAAATCACGAGCCCAAGGCGAGTGATTTGCCTGCTTTTCTTAGCTCGAACAACATTCCCAAGTGTTTGGATCAGGCCATCCAAACACGGAAACCATAAAGTAATTGTTTTATAAAATAACAACAACACGATAGTCTTCCGTGTTTGGATGGCCTGATCCAAACACGGGTTTCGACCAATCAGAACACGCGTTATATATATGTTATTTTATAAATCATGTTCAACACGAAAAATAAATCTGGTATTTCCAAGCATCCATGTATTTTTCTGTTTATTATATAAACAAAATTCAGCAAAAAACAATAAAACTTCCGTAGCAATACGTTTTACAACAAATGATTTTTTACGTGTGTTTAAATATATTGTTCTCAGTGGCCAAAAACTCTATATATATATAACACTTAAGTTTATATAATAAAGAGTTTTATTTTACGAAACGTTATCAGAAGCCACGGAAGCATTTCGAAAGTGCATGGAAGGGCATTGGCCAAAAGAGGAACTTTTGTAGCCTATATGACTAAAATCAAACAATTTTATGTCGTTCACGAACCGAACGAAAATTTTGAAAATATGGAGTCTTGTCCATACACTTTATTGTTGCAGTGTCTTTATCTGCAAACGTAATGAAGTTGTCACGAAAGTGATATTTAAGGGAAGCTTCACATATCGATTTTTTCCACGAGAAACGTCATATGTTCGTTTGGGGGTGGGGGGGGGGGGTTGGC